AGGGGCCCAATTCCCCCCCCCCCCCCCCCCCCCCCTTTCCCGGCTCCCCTCAGGTGTCATGGCGGGCTTCGCTCCCCTCACGGAGCTGTCGCCTCAAAGCGTCCCCGAGTTGTCGCCAAAATGCCCCAAGACGCAGCTGAAATTGTCCCAAATTGGCCTAAAACTGTCCCCAGAGTGTTCCCAACTCCATAAAATTGTCCCCAAGGTATCCTCAAAACACTAAAATTGTCCCCAAGCCAACCAGGTGTCCCCAACCCCTCTAAATCTGTCCCCAACCTCTCTAAATTTGTCCCCAAAATGTCCCAAATCCCTTTCTAAATGTCCTAAATCTCCTAAAAATGTCCCCAGACCCTTTCAGGTGTCCCATCTCCCTAAAACTGTCCCCAAGGTGTCCCCAAAACCCTAAAATTGTCCCCAAGGTGTCCCCACATCCTAAATCTGTCCCCAAAGTGTCCCAAATCCCTTTCTAAATGTCTCAAATTCCCTTAAAAATGTCCCCAAAGTGTCCCCAGACACCTCCAGGTGTCCCAAATCCCCTAAAATTGTCCCCAAAGTGTCCCCAGACCCTTTCAAATGTTCCCCAAGGTGTCCCCAGACCCTAAAACTGTCCCCAAACCCCTAAAAATGTCCCCAAATCCCCTAAAATTGTCCCCAAAGTGTCCCCAGACCCTTTCAAATGTACCCCAAGGTGTCCCCAGACCCTAAAACTGTCCCCAAACCCCTAAAAATGTCCCCAAATCCCCTAAAATTGTCCCCAAAGTGTCCCCAGACCCTTTCAAATGTACCCCAGGGTGTCCCCAGACTCTAAAACTGTCCCCAAGTTGTCCCCAAACCCCTAAAATTGTCCCCAAATCCCCTAAAATTATCCGCAGAGTGTCCCCAGACTGTCCCAAATCCCCTAAAATTGTCCCCAAAGTGTCCCCAGACCCTTTCAAATGTCCCCAAGGTGTCCCCAGACTCTAAAACTGTCCCCAAGTTGTCCCCAAACCCCTAAAAATGTCCCAAACCCAGTGAATTTTTCCTCAAATCCTCCTAAAACCATCCCCGAGCCACCACTGGGACTGTCCCCAAACATCCCCAGATGTCCCAAACGTCCCCAAATGTCCCCAAACGTCCCCAAACGTCCCCAAATGTCCCCTCAGTCGCTGGT